TGTGTGTCCACACACACACACGAAAATTGGTAAATAGTGTGGGATGTGACATAATCACTTGTGCACTTTTGAGGTTTGCAGTGGAGCATATTTTTTAGCTTTTTTCCACAATTACAAGCTGAGCTCCATAATAATAGGTTCTACGGAAGATCGAATTCAACCTTTGTCTCAAAATCCTACTGTTTATTTCCCCGTTATATGGTAATTTGATGAAAACATTTTTCTTAGAGGTGGTGGTATAGATTGTAGGTTTAGAGACTAGCTGACTTCTACACCTGTTTAAAAATTTTAAAGGATATCAGGTTATTCAACAAGAGTATCCATCAATATTTCGTTTTCATTGTCTATAACATCAGCCGTGCAAATACGTTGAATCCTCTTAAATAGACATTTCACCAAAAATGTATAGCGCAAATACATCACATTGTTCAGATAATCTCCGTCCTTTTAATAACGCTATCCAAATTAAATATTGAAGTTGGAGTAGTTTCTTTTGAACAACACATAGTTCCGACTTTTCAATGTATGTGGCGAGGGCTTCTCGCTATACAAAGATTTTGAAAGCACACTGCCTTCGGTAGATTTTTTGTTCACTTTGTAAATGATTCAAAATGTGTTAAAGAACATCAATGTGATAGGAACCAGCATAAAATAGCATCTATTATCCTTTCTCACAAATCTTGTGATTTATCTTATGATGGAGTTACTTGTGTATTAATCCATCATTTCTCACGCGAACACTGTGATTTATTGTGTGATCAATTCATCATCTTTTCTCTCACCTTAACCTTTGTCGGATTGCCAACCAATCAGGATGGCTATTGCCAGAAAAAATTAGCACAACCCATTCCTACGTCTGTGAGCCAACTTTATTGTGGTAAATAAAATGTGTTGTTTCCTAATCAATACACAGTATCTTATAGTCACAGACGCCACCCTTTGTCTTTTGATATTTGCATGACTCAATGAAGCAGGAAGTACATCGGAGAAATAGGTGTATTAGCGTACCAGTTGAGTTCATTACCCTTATAAGAATTAACCGTGCAGATATAACCTTCTACATTAAAAAGTTAACACAATCAGGTATCAACCAACTTTTACTCCGGCAGTATGTAAAACCCTGTATTTTACCCATTGTAATCTATTGCTCTCCACTGATCTCTCCTGGGCTTCTCAAAAAAGACTATATCATATTACGAAAGGTATTAAATGCTGTGAGTACGGCTTGTGATCTGCCACACTATGCGTGAGCTCACCAATATTATAGTCCAGAGACATATAACATCCTGTACAAAATAGGCAAAGGCCGTACTGTCAGACTCCTTGCACCCCCCTTATTCACAACCATCCCCTTGCATCTCATCAGGTGGGATGAGAAGTCAATATAAGAAGTTATATGCTCAAACCACTAAGTACAAAATTTCTACAATACCCTATTTAGCCCATATTTTATGTGATGAAGACACTGTTAGACGTGAAACATGTAAGAAGTTGCTATGTAATTAGCAAAGTGAATCAACCCTTTCATCGTTCATCTTTCTGTAATTTTATGGTGTCACCCTTTCTATCGTTTAATTATAACTTAGCGATTTTATTTTTAGTTGTTATTACTTTTATTGCTACAATTTTATACTTTATGCATATTTTTCTCCTTATCGCATACTTTAATTGCTACATACTTACTTACTTTACTTCGGCTATCTCCTACGGGAGGATGAGCCGGCTTCATGAACCATGAAGTTTCATGGGAATTGGGTACGAGTGATGTCCCCAGCATCGCTCGGCCTTTGTTTGAGAGTGCAGCTCTAGCCTTTACACAACCAAGTGTGACCTACAAGGCAGTAAAAGTGGAGTAGGGAGTCCACTATCCATTGGCAGCCGGTGACCGGAGTCCGGTTCATTCGCCTTTTTGAATGGGGCCAGTCACCCAGGGCATCCAATAAGCCCTTTATCCATACGTCTGCCGGTGAGCTCCGGTGAGCTTCATACGCCAGTCGTTGGAGGTTTGGAATCAGGGTTTAGCCATCTCCCCTAGACTGTCATCCAATGGACAGTCGACCCGGTGAAGAGCGCCGGGCATCCGCTTTTGCCCTCTCACTTTGGTGAAAAACACCTCCGCCACGTGAAGGCAGTGAGTAGGACTTCCTCAGGAGAGCTACATATAGCTACATTATTATTATTATTAACCAGAGGAGCCACAATTGAACATCTCCTCAAAACCTGTCACAGCATCTCTCAACTGACTCATTATGCGGAACAATTTACAAAGCAAACGAAAATCCACCAAGGGCAGTGTGTTTCTAACTTCTTTCTACTGCAGAAGCCCCCTCCCTCCATATGCATTGAATACCTGGAACTATGTGTTCTAGAGCAACTAGTTTAATCTTTACGTCTACCATAGATCTAGTTCTCCTGGACTCCTTTGTCCTTTTTGTCTACAAGTGTATTCAGTAAAAAATTATTTTACATTTAGCGTCATAATTTTCTAATCCTGCGTAACTTCGTTTCTAGGTCCCTTGTAATCTACATATTCAAAGCTTCAAACTTTCATATTGAGTTGAAAATAATTACCATCATCAATCACATCAGTTATTATGTGATCCATTATGACCCGAACTACGACCTAGTAGACTATTAGAGGGCAAAGTTCAACAACAGCATCCCGACAGGTGCGAACACACGGGTGACCTTCACAGCCGCCCAATCATAAAAATGAGGAATTTTGCGACAAAAAATGGCGTACATTTACAAGAAAATGCATGAAAACACATTAACTCAGGGTATCTTTCTCTGACACATGACTTAAAAATACTTTCCAGTTATAATGAGGAGTATCAGTTGCTAAGTTAGACTAGTTTCTCTACATGTATTCTCACCAAGGTGACTGAAGATGAGCTGTTTTTGTGAATCGTTTATTTCTCTTATCCTGTTGTGCAGTCCCCTCCAAAGCCCTCAGTTGAACTACTATGGTTTCCAGTAATAGGATCGACGACTACTTACCAGGAAAGCGTGTACAATAAAACAAATTAAACTAAATGACACCAACTATAAATCTGTCTTTAATCGTAACCCTAACCCTAGACTTAACACCAACCCTAATTGCAATCCTTATCATAACCGGTAAATCTAACCCTTATACTAATTATGATCCGGATCCTAACCCTAACGAGCCATTAACACATTGTCGAAACAGTACTTAAAAACGTGATCTGGGTAAAAATTTGCTGCTAAGCTGGTGAATAGCGTTGATATTTTAGTTATGATAATGACAGGTGCCATTAGCCAACGACTCGCATGCTTTCAAGGTTATTGGAGCGTTCGCAGTTGTGGGACGCCATTGTTGAACTTCACCCATTAGAGAATAATAACTTATTGAGTTGGCAAAGTTAAACTTTAAGCACCACTAACTACCAATCAGCGAACGACGTCGAATTAACCAATGAGACTCATGAACGTTGGTTCAATGTTGCATAGCGCTTGACTCATTTCAAATGCGTGCCCTTACAAGGTTACGGTTGCAATTCGAGAAGGATAGTGTTTTCCAGTATTGCCTGGATATGAGAATGCTCCGGAAGGAGCGAACTTGTTCGTGTGGTGGAATCATGACTTTAAAAAGCTATAGCAGGTGAAGTGATGGATTTGTTCACCGTTGTGCGATATGCTTGAAGCGAGTTAGCATTAGAGAGGGTAAGCTGATAAGTTTAATATTTCGTAGGAACTTTTTTGCAAGGTCACACCTCTCCTTGACGCAAATTTTGTATATCTGCAACTACTGGCTCTTGAAACAGCCAGTGAGAGCTGCAGCTGCTGAGACGAAGAATAGCCTCGTTTCAACATCTCAATGGTACCAGCATTGCAGAGATATTGCTACGTGGAAAATGGAGAAAATCACTTCTTTGTTGGGTGAAGACGTTGTTGTGCACGTGGACGAAACTGTCTTACTGAAGAAAAAATATAACCGTGATCGTCAGCAAGCCAACGATATTTGGGTAATAGGTTTGTACGACACCTCCCAGCGAAAGGGATTCGTGGAAAGGATAACAGATAGACAGGCAACTACTCTTGTACTTATTATAACGAGACTTGTAAAATGTGGAAAGGGAAGGCTATAATTCCCTGTCATCTCTGGGATACATTCATCATCGAGTCAACTATTCGAGTGATTTAATGGATCCCGTTACAAGAACTCATACAAATTCTATTGAAGGATTTTGGGGCAGGTTGAAAAACAGAATAAGGGCTATAAATGGATTTCAAAGGACATCATTTATAGTCATTTGGATGAATATATGTATAGAATATGGTGTGACTTCTCCATTGACAGTCCCATGCTAAACTGGGAGATGTTCCTCTCACATGTTAGGGAAAGATACCCCCCCCCCTGTAACCGATTTATGCTTTGTTTTATGTTTTTTTCTCTAAATATACGTTCCCACCTATCTTAAATGCCTCTTTAATGCGATTGGTCCGTTCAAGGTCCTTTGCTGATTGGTTGTTAGTGGTGTCGAAAGTTTAACTTTGCCGTTGAGTTCGCTAATCTGTCTTAATCGCACGTCAACAACAACAATGACACCACCTGAACTCAAAGACAAACGAAAAGACCGGACGTCGATAAGAGAGCTTTTACTGTCACGAACAGCAATCAAAATCCTAGACAGAAACTATGTATATACACAGAATGACTTTGAAAATACAGTAATTCTGTGGTGTATTAAAAGTATTAACAGCCAGTAGGAATCCAGTAATCCAAACGGAGGGAAAAACAAAGAGCTCATGCCAGTGCGCTATAACGCCTTACAACGGTTATTTTAAGGTTTTAGGCAAAATTAGGCGAAACTGGATATATAAAACAGGGAAATTAAGTTATGATGTATATAAATGCGATTGTATGGCTGCTCTAGAGCACGAAATCGGCGAAAAGATGGTTGTCTTTGTTGATATAAGAAAAAGGCGGGGATTCAAGTAGAACAATACTTATCATAAATATAAATAAAACTAACCTTTAAATGACCTGACGAAGTACTGAAAACTGCATATGTATTACACAAATCAATACTTGTTATCTCTAATAGCACACTAGATTCCCAACGACCGATATCATTAGAATTCCATGCCTTTAATAGACCAAGTATACCATTCGATTCAAGACAGACATCAACATGGAAACTTTTGCAACTTTGACTAATATTATTATTGTTGGCAGGATTATTATGCTGGTTGTTATTGGTGGATGTATTACGCGGTGGAACAAGACACCAAATAAGTTTTCCATTTGGTGAAATATGAATCTACAACAACAGCGACAACGGAAAAATACAAAATTGCAAGATAAATAAAGGAACAAAAAAGAGAATAGCTAAGATTAATTATACAGTGTATTGGAAAGTGCAGGTTCAATTCTGAGACGATGTACTACGTCCTAAATCTCTTCCGGTTGGTTTACTAACCTGGAAGAAAGAAGGGAGATTCGAGTGTGAATGCTAGAAGCCTCATCCCACTAAATAGACAACCCCAATTTTTTCTCTACTAAAACAAACTTAACTATAATCTACTCAGAACTCAAATAATGAGAAACAAACTAAGATTACTGGCCGCTTGCATGAACTTTGTGCAACCGAAAGACCCTTTTCCATTCGGATCAATCAGAGAGGTTCTCAACTCGAATATATATATATATATATATATATATTGATTTATTGTGAGCATTCTGCTATGAAATTCACGTACGAATAGGAATCCTAAAATAGCATTGTCTTCCTGGATGTCTTCCTTAGAAGAAAACTAGATGGTAGCATAGAAAAAGTACATGGACAGGACAATATACACATAGCTTCATAGCTTCGTTCCTCTCCAGTACAAAAGAAATATAGTAAAGGCTTTCAGCCACAGAGTTAGAGCTATATGCTCAGAAGAAGTAATTGAAGGTGAATTAAGCATTGTATATGATACCTTGATTGATCGAAAATAGATATCCCGACAAATTTATCAAGAAACACATGACAAAGAAAGCGGAAAAGGACTACTCACTATCTGTAGACAAGAAGCCTTTACATATACGACTGTAATTCAAGGGCGATATACCAGGCGAAATAATTACGAAGAAATTAAGAAAATCAGTTCACGTCTTATTCTCTACGCAACCGATGGTGCTACCTCGACTGAAAGATGAAGTACCTAAACTAGCTAGCCACTTCAAATAGTATCTACCAATTCAACTGCGCTTATAGTGGAACCAGTTATATCGGCAGTTGCTCTAGGAACTCGATTTTTCGTGTTCGAGAACATATCCCAGTATGGCTGAGTAAAGGTGTAGTGAAAACCATCAACAATTCGACATTAGACCATCTGGTTCAAACCGGCCACAAAGCCAGCCAGCATTGAAGAATCCTTCTCTATCATCTACCGGGTACCAAATAAATTGTCAAAAACATCGAAGTACCGCATGCTTCAAACAGCAGAGGCTATCGCAATTCGCGTGAAACAACTATTGTTTTGTGTGCAAAAGAAGCAAGTCCAGCCACTACTACTGTCCTGGCTGGCCTTTAGTAGAGACTATAAATTCATGAATTTATATTAGGATCAAAATAGTGAAAATTTCACTCTAAAGTGTTCATATTAGATGGTTAGAGGGAACCAGCAGGAAGCCACACCTTAGCTAGGTTTCAGACCAGTTGGCACTCGCCAGTCATTCAGCAAGACGTATCTGAAACCCTGAAGGAACTCACGTACCCTCTCCGCGCCTCCGAAATTTGAACCGCGTCACCTAGTGCTGTATTTAGTCAGATAGGCTGTCACTGAGCTAATCGGGCTCATAATTGACCTCCTATAGGACTGCGTTGGACATTTTTCATTGAACACTAGTTAGCAACTAATATCACGCAACTGGTACTGCACTGGGTGACAGAGGTTCGATTCTTAGGAGGGACGTGAGACTGCAGACACACCATACTGACTGGTGAATACGAACAAGTACGACAACTAGCTGTAAGGCTTCCTGCCGATCGCCCCCAACTATCGAACGACTACAATTCTTAATGCACCGTGGTGGCGGCAAGCCACCTAGTGGCATGATGGCCACATTGCGAATTCGACTGAGAGCTCGTGTTCAATCAGAAAATTTCTCTCTGTGACATAACCGTTAATACATTTGGTAGTTTGCACTAACCAGCTTCCTACCTAACAAGATTTGCAAGCCTACGGTTTCAATCAATATTAGCAACAACAACGATACCAGCGAACCCGCGGCGTAAAAAGACAAGAAGGGAAGACAGACAGTTGATGTAGAAGGCTTTTACTGCCTTGAATAAACAGCGAAAAGGGTTGACAGCAATAGCGTATCTATATATATGCTTTAAATGGCCTTGAGCGACACTGGTTTCACTGATAAGTTAAAATAGTCAATAACCAATAGGATTCCAAGGTCACAGGTGGGAGGGAAATACCAACAGCACTGCACTGTTAAGATAAATGTACTATCTTTAAAAAAGGAGGCCTATATGACACTTTGTAATTAAAATAACCTGATTCTGTTACCACTATAATAACTAATATAAGATCTTATTAGAATTCGGAGAATAATTGATTGATTACGCAACATTTTCAGTCTGTTCCAATCAATTGAATAATGAAAACAAACGAAAATTGGCGACAAAAAAAGACAAAACAAAGACAGTCATATGACACTAATGGATTAGGTAATTTTAATTTGATTGAATTAATTATCACATATATATATAATCGATAATATTTCGATTGTAATATAAAGGAAAGTACAATCAATAAAATCGATATCTCCATACTAATCAATACATACATACATGAATACATATATAACCTTTTCATACAGATGATTGTAATCGATAGATTAATGATATCCTGTGTTTATTTAAGGAAGTTTGTGTGAGATATTTTTTTAAAATTTCAACTTAATTTAACCCATATAATTGATGGTATTTACTGAGTAGTGAATATTCTCAATGTAGAAGTACTACTTTACACATAGAGTGTAGCAGCAGTTCAAGTGACCACTCTTCATAAAAGTACAAATTAATACATACGTAGAACTTGAGCATTGTGGGAGCATGTAATTCCATGTTCATTTGTTTATTAGATAAATATATATCTCACAGTAAAACAGTATTATTATTTACCGGATGACGACGCCTTTCGGACACATTTCATTTCTGAACACCCAACCTTTATATTTTTACATTCGGGTTCCACTCGACGGCTTGACATAAGACATCACTTGAAGATCTTCCAAGCCTTTGTCCAATCCGCTTCCAATTCCCTGTTGCTTAGCCTGCCTGGCCGACTATTTGATCTCCAGGATGTTGAGAAGGCAGATGTTTAATAAAGTCTGAAGTCTGTCGTTGAAAGTGCTTATGGTGATACACGTAAGTCAAAATCACCAAACCATATAAAAGATGTCAAGAGACACTGATTTCCAAGGGCTGGACATCCATCTTGTCTTTTCCTAACTTGGTTGGGGCTTTGACAGCATCATTATCACCATCACCGTCACCATCCGTGGTGCCTGCAGTTGAAACGATGCTGTCGACGTGAATGAAAGAGAAGGCTATCTTTTGATTTCTCTGCCCCACACACACCCTACGGTTTGCTTAGCACTACACACTACTCCAAAACTGTATTACTTCAAGTGAGTTTACAGTACTTTACTTTTCTTAGTTAGTAAAGCAGGATTAAATGAATTCATCAAAATTTCGGTAGAACACCTGCTCAGCTGGATACTCTATGTGCAAAGATCTATATACATGGTATCGGAAATTCATTGGGAGATGAATATAAGACTGATAAGCAAATGAACTACATTGAATTAATTGATCATGCAAAACGAGACGTGTGAGTGTTTTTCAGATCATGTTCAAATAGGGAGAGGGGGAGAGAAAGTATGAGAGATTAAGAATTAAGATGAAATGCATAAAAGCTCAATGACATCACGTAGATAAACAACAATTAGTGATCAGTGAGTGAAAGAACTCAAATATGTCGTCACTGTGAATCTACCATGATAATACAGTTAATAATTATGATTAGTAATATTATTATGCCATATTAGTTTGTCCATTAGATGTATCACACAGTGAGTGAAACAGTATTATTTACTGGATGGCAAGGTTTCGAACAAAATTTATCTCTGTTCATAATCATGTCATCAATCATAATCACACGATTTCGTAACTTGAGTTTTATAGTTTTCTTTGTTCTCTCATATTTGCCGTTGTAGGAGTAGTAGAATTTTCCAGATATCTGGGTGGACAGGTGTTGCATCATTCCTATAACATGTATTTGCAGTTAATTCGATAAATAAAGCTTCTGTTATCAATCTCTCCCTCCACCCTTCTATTACATTAGATTTCAAAACTGAATGTCCTCTTATCCCATACTATTGTATGGTTCTTTGTAATTGCACGCAATGAGTGCTATCGGTGAACTATTCTCTAGATTTCTTATTTTATTCGGGTCAACTAATCTAGATTTCACTGGTAGGTTTTTATGTTCGGCTAGTCTGACTGCCCCTGTTCTACTACTCTGACCTATGTATTTGACCTGACAGTCATTGTAGGCAGAGTATTAGATAAACTAAATTATTTTGTTTAATTGGCTCTGCAGGAGTGATCCTTTAACCGACACAATTTATTTCTAACTGAGTTTGTGGGCAGCTTGAATACCAGCCACTTTTATTCCTGCCTGACTTGTTCAGAATTCTGAGTAAGGGAGTTTCCGAGGTTCCTTCTTTGTATGGAATTACTACTGATGATTTAGATTCCTTATTGTTGGTGTCATCTTGCGCATATTTAACAGGGATGTCGTCATTAATATTATTATCAATATCACTATTTATTTTATTTTTACGTTTCCTCACATATTTCCTGACTAATTAATCAGGGTAATTATGAAGTTTCAAGGCTTCTTTTATGTGTATCACTTCCTGTCTTAGGTTTTCCTTAGTATTACTTAGTTTTTGTGCCCTGTTGTCACTTAAACATTTCACCAATCCTATTCTTACTGACATAGGATGAGTGGGTTGATCAGAAGTCCAAATGTATCTGTTTGTATGTGTGGTTTTCCTGTAAAAACTAGCGTGTTTTAACTTCCCATCTTCTTTCCTTTTTACACTGCAATCTAACATTGGAAGCTGCCTTTGTTGACTTCCAGAGTCATAAGTGAATTGAATTGCCTCCACCTTTGAGTTAATGTGTTCGAAAAATCTATTTATATCCTGTGTCCTAAGTACAGTGAATGTGTCATCTGCATATCTCCGCCA